CAGATGATGATGAAGAATTATTATTATATGACTACAAATGATGAGTTGTTATATCATTGGGGCGGAAGAAACACAAATTAGATTAAAGTGGATGGATTCAAGGAGCTAGTTGAATTAGTAGGACGATATGATATTGGGGCGACACACATGTTCATTTGACACTTGCGTGCCGTCCCAACATCATATCGTCCTACTAATTCAACTACCTCGGAAGAATCCATCCACTTTAATCTAATCCGTGTTTCTTCCACAACCTCTTCATTGCTACTATCTAAAAATTGTATAACAGTGTAAAAATATAAAATAAATTAAAGAAATGAAATACACACTAATAGTACTGGTGTGGGTAATAAATATCGCTACTTCTATGTATTAGTAGCGCGGGTACAATCATTCGCTACTGCTTACACTAGTAGCAGCAGTGTGGGTCAAAACGCGCGGTACTGCTAAAAGTTAGCTGTAGCGCCCTAACAGTAGCGCGGGCCACAAAACCCACACCACTACTAGTTGGGGCTATTATTTTTCTTCCAATGTATTTGCTAGTTTGAAAAATGATCTTATATTGTGGGACGGAGGGTGTACAATTTTAAATTCATTTGGTTGTAGACTATGTGTTTTTCATTTATTTGGTTGTAACTATGTGACTTTTATATGTTTAATAATGTTTTTCACATCTACTGGGGTAAAAAAAAGGACACACCTAACAATTTGTAATTTACCTAAAAAAACAAATACACCTGATTAATAAAGAAAAACATAAGGAGTAGTATATGTTAGTACCTCCTTGAAGAGGGCACACACAGAGTGCTCAGCCGAGAACCGCTTCAGCTCCGTTAGCTGATAAGAATGTCCTATGCACAAGCTTGCTATCTCAAAGCGTTGCGTGGAGACAATGATCCAGCTTCCATTTTTCATATCAGGAAGAAACGTCCTGATAGTATCCCACTCTAACATGTTTGAAAAACCTTCCAGGACGATAAGGTACCTCTTCTTCATAATAAGCTGCTCGAACTCCCTGACGATGTCATCATGGGCGGCCTCCATCTTGGTTAGGACATGCGTCCCTACATTGGTTGATTCTTCGCGAGAGTTCTCATAGAACTGAGCCATCAAGCTCCGGATGAAATCCCGGGGATTAAAAGGATGCATGATCTTCACCCAAGCTCGGCACGTGAAGTACGTGACGAACCATGGGTCATTGTATACCTTCCTGATAATCGGTGTGGTGCCGAGGTCGCCGTCGACCGTCTCCCACACTGAGATAACTTGAAGTTCTTGGTCGCCTTTCTCGGTGATCAACTGGGCAAGATCCCAAAGGCATGACTTCCTTTCGGAGGCCTCCCTTGACTTCAAGAGCATCCTGACTGCAACTGCGCCGGAGGCGGCGCCAGACGTTTCGTGCTGTTGCAGCTTGAACAGCTTTGGGTCAGAGTCCATGATGTGGCTGTAGCGCAAGTAGCACTTGCTCAGCTCCTCCGCCCTGGCCCTCAGCACGTCTATCTCTGCCACCGCCTCATCCAGAAGTGGAGGCGGTGTGATCCATGCCGGGAGCAAACGGAAATACCAGGTGGACTTCTTATCGAGGTGAACGACGAACTCGATGCAGTCCTCAAGGTCGTTGGCGAGCTCGCGGACCTGCCTCACCCAGGTCTTCATCAGATTGTTCTTGAGGCGCTCTTCAGTTGCGACTTCGAGAAAAGAGTGGATCATTTGGAACTCCAATGTGATGAACACCATGTTTTGCCCCGCCTTCCGCCGCAGCTTCGCCTCCTCCTCGATTGCCGCCTGGGCCTGGCTCAGTGCCCCCACCACCACCGACTTGGCCAAACCCACCATCAGGTCCGCCATTGCTTCCTCTCTCTTCTCCTAGCTAGCCTGAGTGTTGATTAATCTCTTCTTGTGTGGTGGTGAGTGCTAGAAGGAGTAGTTGTGCGTCCACAGAGCACCGGGAGATGGCACTCTTAATGCAATCTGTATCTGTATCCATTACTATCTGTGTTCACATGTGTTTTACAAATACTATCTTGTTTTTGAAAACTTTATGATGTGCACTATTGTTTGCTAATAGCTAAATATCCATGGACCTGTGCCTATATCACAACGTCACCACACTTACATCATCACATGCGTGCGCTCGCACTATACATGCTAGGGTAGTCGCAACATCATCAAACTGATTTATTTTCAACAATGTTTAGCTAATACTCCCTCCGTACGGAAATACTTTGTCATCAAAATGGACAAAAAAGAATGTATCAAGAAAATTTATTCCAGCTGTTGACTTCACATGTCCAATCTAGCTTGGGCCATCGACCAAAACTGAATTAACGGAAACATTACGAGGCATTTTAGCTGACTGCGATGACCACTTCCATCCTAGTGTGAGCATGTTCAAGATAATTTCTAGTTTCAGAATTTTTAGAGTAAAGAAATTCCAAATAACAAGTAGTGCAAGTTATGCAAAGATGAGGAAGCATTAGCCCGGCTGCATGCTTGCTCGCCTTATATCTACTTCCGTTCCCAAATATAAGCCTGTCTAGAGATTCCAACAAGTGACTACATAGGGAGTAAAATGAGTGAATCTACACTCTAACATATGTCTACATACATCCGTATGTTGTAGTCCATTTGAAATGTCTAAAAAGACTTATATTTAGGAATGGAGGCGTAGCTATTTTCATTTTTCTTGTGTGTCTTGATAGCTTTACTTCTTGGTCATTCTTTGTCCCTTGTAACGTTTCATGAAAACAAATGTGCAACATCAGTTCAAAATTGCAATATATTTCTTGTTACTAAAACTATGTTTTTTTAGGAAACAAGATATTTTTAATCTCTGCTTAATTGTGGGAACTAGGGAGCCAACCAACTAATGGCTCTAGCTGGTCAATGGACGTGGCCTAAACTAGCATCAATTATGTGCTAAGTAACCTCCACGTGATGCTGCGCTGGACATGCATTATGAAAAGGGGAGCTATATATAGCTCCAAATATACAACTGTAGCATCAAACTAGCTAATTCGAACATTTTTTGAAAAAGATGATGACTTCTTAAAGTCATCATGTCGTAATATTATTTAGGCTAGGTTCAGACGTCATGGACTTAATCTTGGCCCATCGATGAATGATCGAGCCAGACCATAAACTAATACTCCCTCCGTCCGGAAATACTTGTCATTGAAATGGATGTATCTAGATGTATTTTAGTTCTAGATACATCCATTTTCATCCATTTTGATGACAAGTAATTTCGGACGGAGGGAGTACATCTTGGAACAGATCTAGGTCACTACCAAATGCATGTGCACCGGCCGGCTAGCTGTAATATCTTATGACAAGCACTAGGCCATTCGATGCGCGCTGCCCCCCAAAGTCTTGCCCTTGGTCAATGTAATTTGGGCTGGCCTCTTACAAATGAAATAAAGCAATCTCTGAGTTGCTTGGTCTAGATGCAGGTCAGCAAAATTAAGTTAGTTGTGTCTTGGTCTAGATTGGAGCTTTTTTTTCATGCTTTTTCAGGCAGTGCAGAGAATGTGTGAGTTTCAATAAATATACCCATGGTTCACATCTGTCGGACAGCAAACAGTAAATATTCAGAAATGAAATTATCGCTAATGCGTACCTTTTTAGTATCTTCGGCGTTCAGTCTAAGCAGCTTCAATACATATTTAGTAATTTGCCCTATATATATATATATATATATATATATATATATATATATATATATATATATATATATATATATATATATATCCACAATCCACGTTATCTATCCACCACCGTGACGACCACTAGCTACCACCAATTGGTTGATCTGTTCTCTTGTGGAATGAGTATTTTGGAAGATTAGATTGTTAGCCTGCTCCACTGATACAAACCATATGATTTGCTCCTCCACGTTTGACTGGCCAACCGAAGGACTCAATCATCGTGGTTAGATGTGTAAGAGAGTATATATACAGTTTTTTTGTTTCCGAAATGAGAGTATATATACAGCTAATGAAATTAGATCGAGATTGTGAGTCAAGTGGCTCTAAGGATGCATGTGAGGCCGGTTGTCGAGGTAATTGGACCAAATAATCAAAAAAGATCTTGTCTTGTGCCTAGCTATATGCAAGAGTAACGTTGCCACTTCTAGAGCAGCTGACGGAGAGATTAACAAGGCAGATATAACTGCAAGGACGTTCATATGCTAGTTTTGCATGGCCGTATGCATATATGTAGGCACGTCCTTAAAGCACTTGATTAGAGAGCATTCATGCATAAATGCTTGAACGACTCCAAAATCATGCGGTGCATAAAGTTTATTTAGAAGAAAAATGGAAATATTATTTTCAAATGGTAAATAGATCATCTCCCACTATTCGTTTTTTTGTTGACTTAGAAGAAAAAATAACATATTCGGCAGAACATCTTGGAATGCTAACATTATCTTGCGATACACAATGGTTGCAACCGGAGGATGCAAATAGATGGGCAGCTCGGCAAAGATGGTTGACCCAAGGTGTGCGGTGTGCCGGTACACTGATAAGTAAGTACGGCGGCATGGCTGGTTAATTAGCAATCTTTGATCCAACAAATTAAGTAGTACTACCAACACACCAAGATGCTTTTCAATCTGCTGGCTAGTAAAGTTCGAGCTTATTACCTTCATGCATGAAAGCATTATTGTATTAATCCTACAACAATATCAATCTTACTCACAGGAGAAAAATGAATCGATTGGAAAGTACTGTAGTTTATATCACTAAATGTCATTCCTAGCTCATCGGCAAGAAAAATGTCATTCTTAGCTCGGGTATTACGCAAGATTAGTTTATAAGCAGGACTGCTGGCCAGATGAGTTTTTTTAAACCAAGGCACAAGTGGCCAGATGAGTTGGTTTGAGTCATCCGTGCAAGTTGAGCTGTACACATCACATCAGAGTCTCGGTCTTGGCCCATCGATCGATGCCATAAACTAGCTGATCGATCGAATCGATGGTACACACCAGCAGTAATATCATATGGCAACCCCAAAGCCTGGTCATGGATGCGTTATGTCCCCAAGGTTTTAACAAGGCTGCACAGATACATAGATCGATGCGTTCATTCCCCAACGTTGGCCAATCTTTTCCGCGATTGACCTTACAAGTCATTGTTTCTCTCATTTCTGAGCGCGTCTACTCCATTCAATTAATCCAGTAGTATGTACACAAAGCTAGCTATAGCTGTGTTGGATTGTGATGGTGATCGAACTCGCAATGTCAATGACGACGTGCATACCCATGTACACGTCAATGCACATACATAAACAGCAAATTGGACATTTTTAACCAAAACAAGTACCTACTGGCCGGCCAGATCCGTAAGAGGCGGGAGCAAAGTCATCGCTCGATGTTACGTCTCCGTGCGCCTAGCCGATAAATGTATGTACTCCAAGCTAGCTAGCTGTTGGCTGTGATGGTGATCCGATTCCCAGTGTGAACGATGATTTTCTTTCCCATGTGCACATATGAAAACCTGTAAGCATAGAGATACGATATCAAATGGTACATATAGATGACGTATGCGGAGTTAGAAAAAATCAGAGCTTTCGAAAGGTTTATGTGAAGCGCAAGGAACAAAAGTGCTGCCCATCTCACTATAAAGCAATATATGCATGAATGCTCTAGCTGATATTAGTGGAATGCAGAAGCATGTGAGGCAGGGAGTCATATCTCACATATAAGCAATAAAACGCATCAAATAATGTAATGCAATGTACTATTGGTCTACAAAAAGATCATCTCGCACAAAATGATTAGCAGGGAGCTTATAAACAACTACATGGTACCCCTTTTATCTACTTCCATTTTCCTTTTCTTCTTCAATTTTTCTTTGTTCTCTTTGTTTCAAGTCCTACAAAAATGAAGAAAACTAGGTATTTTACGAAGATTTTCTTAGAAAGTAAGTTATGCATTTAAATGATTCATGTAGACCTGTATGCATTACTATGTGGAAAATCCTATAAAGACCTGTTTGGCCATCCTGATGATTCCACAATCTCTCTGAATATTGATAATGCCAAGATGATACAGGAAAAATATAGAGATATACTGATTAATGAATTTTCATTGGAAGAAATTAAGAATGTGGTCTTTAAAATGGCACATAACAAATCACCTGGCCCTGATGGATTTACAGCTGAATTCTATCAACATTATTGGGAGCTGGTTAAACATGATCTTAAGTCACTGCTAGATGATTTTGCTAATAGAAAAATTGATATTAGTAGATTGAATTATGAAATTATTACTTTGGTCCCAAAAGGCAAAGATGCTAATAAGATACAAAAATTTAGACCTATTTGCTCCTCTCCAGTGCCGTAACCGCCAGTAAGTGTGCTCGATTAACCTCGAAAAACCAAAAAAAAGTAAGTGTGCTCGCATGCAGCCCCGTTCAAGACACACATCGCAGACACACATTGCTAGTCTGCTGGATCGCTCGAATGCCTGCTGCTGCTCTGCTGGTTTTCAAAATGTGTTAGAAAAAATGCTGGTTTTCATAAAACACATATAACTAACAAAAAGCATTTTCCTAAATTCTAAAAATGATGAAATCAAAAAATGTTCACGAGTTTTTTTTTAAAGTACATGACCTGAGAACAGTTTGCGATTTTTTTAAAAAAAATCTTAATTTATATTCTTTTCATGAATTTGAAAAAAAATTCTAGAATATGGAAATTGTCCAGGAATTTTATAAATTGTTCACACAATTGAATATTTTTAATGAATTAGGAAAAATATTCTTCAATTTTGGAAATTGTTCGCGGATTTGGAAAATGTTCATGATTGTAAAGATAGTTTGTGCGAAAAGTATTCATGACTTAAA